GCAATTAATCATAATGTCATATACCATACTTAATACATTGCATAACCACTCAAGAGTAAAGTGCTCTTCCATTTCGGACCCTTTAAAAGAAACTCGTTATTGTTTCCATACTATATTTATTCTTCTAGAATGTTGACAACAACATATGACTACCAAATTCAGATAAAAACTCAAACACTAAAATTATGAAAACTTGAAAGAGAAGGGTTTTTCTAAGAGACTAAAACAACTCACACATATATACTCAATTCATTAATTAATACCATCGGCATATATTTTTGTTAGGTTGCTTTTTAATGACTATAAAATAATTGTATTAGTTGGATGTATTTATGTCAAAGGTTAATTAGGTGCTGATTGCTATATTTTTCATATATAAAATTTTGATTGATGCATTATAAGCAAATTTTTCTTAGTTAACATATTAACCAAATCAATTAAATTTTAGTTTGGTTAATTTGGTTGTTGTATTAGTTTGATCGATTAGGTTATGATATTGTATTCCATATTTAATAAAATTTAGTCTTAATTGATTTGATAATTATCATAAGAACTAGGGCTGGGAAACAGTCCGGTTCGATTTAAACTGGACCGGATTGACCCGGTTTTTTACAACCGTATTGGAGAATTCCACAACCGAAGACGGGATTGGATTGTTACCCGGTTTCAACCGTGACCGGATTGGATTGTTACCCGGTTTCAACCGTGACCGGACTGGATTGATCCGGTTTAAACCAAAAAACCGGATCTCCTCTACCACCCCAAAACACAGCCGTTTGAATGACAAAAAATCACCCTATCCTCCAAACTTCAATCCCTAATCTATTCCCCAACCTCAATCTTCGCCGCTGCTCCTCTCGCTATTCTTCCTTTCCATCTACTTTCGCGATTCTTCTTCTCCTTCTCCCTCTTCTGGATCAAACCAAATACACCCAAGCATCGCCTTCTTCTCCCTCGAGCACTCCTCTGGCTCGCTCTGCCTATGAGCTCGATAGAAGTTAGAGAGGCGAGAAGAGTTGGAGCTGGAGAAGTGGTTGGAGTCGCGCGATCCGGGAAGGGGAGATCGAGCGAGAAAGGCAGCAGAGAAACTTTGGAGAGGCGATGCATGTCGCCCATCGCATGTCAAGCGATCAGATCTCCTCGGTCGCCGTCACCATCGCCATCGCTGGGGATTTGGAGAGCTCCGTCGCCGTCGCCGTCACCACTCACCATCGCCATCGAGTTCTGGTGGCGGAGTGGCGATGGTCCGTGATGAAATGGAGGTTGGTCGGATTTTCTTCTTCTCCTACTCTTGTGTGGTGGGTCGGTGATTGGAAAAGAGAGAAGCTCGAGGGTCAGAGGGAGAGAGGTGAGAACAGAGGAGGCGGCGGCGATTAGGGTTTAGGGGGGCGGGCTAGGCTGGGCGGGCTGGGGCGCTGGGCTGGGGTCAGGCTGGGCTAGTCTGGACTGGGGCGGGGCGGGCTGGGGGCTGGGCAGGGCGGGCTGGGCTGGGGGCTGGGCAGGGCAGGGCGGGCTAGGCTGGGGACGGGCTAGGCTGGGTTGGGTTGTATTTTTTATATTTATTGTTGTCCGGTTTTTCCGGTTTTAACCGGATCGGACCGGACTTGTGGGCATTACAACCGTAAACGGGATTGGATTGGTTGAGATCCGGTTTCCGGTTGCAACCGACACGGTTTAAACTGGCCGATTTCCGGTTTGACCAGAAAACCGGGACCGGATTTCCAGCCCTAATAAGAACCATTTTAACACCCTATATCTTAAAAAAATTACCGCAATATTTAACTTTTTACATTTGCTTATTGTACCCAAAATGACACAAAACAAAGTTTAGTAACTAACTTGTCACATATACACAAGTTTGGTGACTAAATTCTTCAATCTATCTATCTAACCATACCAATAAGAGGTTCTCCTTCACCATAGGAATAATCCTCTTTTTACCGGCTCATGCGCAGTTCACGGAAGCACCTAGAGGTGGCAATTGGATCGGATTCGTGGATTGGATTGGTGGATCCATGGATCAAATGGATTGGGTCCAATGGATTGGTGGAATCATGGATTGAATCCAATGGATTGCTGCATTGATCCATGAATCCAAATGACATCCAAGCTTGGACCAAAATGTAAATTTTGAAAAGTTTAGGTACTAAAATGTCTTAATGAAAAATTTTAGGTACAAAAATGTAAATTTCCAATGATATTTTTCGTATAAAAATATAATTTTTAGGTACCAAAATGTAAAATATAAAAATATAGGCACTAAATTGTAATTTGTCATTTGGATCTATGGATTGATCCATGAATCCACCAATCCAATTGGATTTGGATCAAATGGATTGGATTAAGTGGATAATTTGGTGAATGGATTGGATTGGATTGGATTCATGGATTTGGATTTAAATGGATTGGAGTAGGTTTGTGACCATTTATGATAACTACCCTCCATCTACCATTCTTCACGGCGCCGTTTTTCTCGTTTGGCTTCAGTTCAAGTTGCTCTGGCGCTTTCAGTTCTAATTCTACTCTCTTCTCTTTTCACGGCACTCAGGCTTTTCCCCAAAACATCCAATTGGACAGCCTCATCGGAGTCCGCAGCAAAGCTAAGAGCCCGCGGCGACGACCTCATGAACAAGCGGCGGTGATGCAGGCGAACTTCCTTGTGGGGCCCCTGCCCTTCATCCGATAGTATTCATGTTCCTTTCTCCTCCCTCCTCGCCGGCTCACCATGGAGCGGCTAGTTCCACCGTCGTCGCACGCGGAACCGCTATCAACTGCTTGTGTTTAAATCGCCGTCATCGTTTTCAGGGGCGGAGGCGGCGACTAACAGCCACCAGAATCATTATTCCGTGCTCGAAATCAAGTGAAGCGCCTCCTCGGCAGACATTTAAAAAAGCTTATCGCTTTATTGCCCGCCAGGTGAAAAACTTGTCTGGGTGTTTCGGTTCAAGCTTTTCGGGAATCATTTTGTCATACATTGAAAATTTTGCAACCCTTGTTGTCGCGGTTAGCTAATTGGAAACTCGGATTTCGATTTTAGAGGATGTTGATGAAGCTGCAAAATATCGGAAAATAATGGTTTTTGTCTTTCATGGATTGGAACCCTAAGCAATAGTGGATAGGGTTTTCTGTTTCTTATGACATTTTCATTGCCTCCTCCACGAGCATTAGCATTCTTGTCGTTCCGTGATTCTTTAGTGGTGTGCTTTTCTTGGGGCATATCTCAAATGTTCCATATGAGTTCGGCAATTTTTTGATAATTAGGAAGTTTAGCTTTCTCAATTCCGCCAAACATTTGGCTTATAAATGGCAATTTTTAGCAGTTTCTTCTTAGGTTGTGTAGTGTGTAGTGTTTACTGAAACGCTGATGGTGGCTTGAGAAATTCCTTATCGTTTGTTCTTTGTGTTTCTTATATAGGACCGGACCATCCTGATGTTAGCAAGCATTCAAAGGCTGGTGAGATATTCAAAACCATTGGTCGAGCATATGAAGCGGCATTCCCTATACATATCTTGATCCATTGGGTTATCAAAATCTCAACACTCTTGGTGGAGTTCACTTCATTGAGAATGCAGCTACTCAATTAGGACTTTCCATATTCCTATTTCTCTCCTTGAAAAGTTTGCATCTTTTGGCGTATTCGGACTCTTTCAAATGAAGTGAGAAGAATACAGTATGACCGAGTATTGAGATTGAATGAAGATTCAGCATATAGAGGGAAAAAGTATTACAGTCCTTAATTTGAAGATTAGCTGAAATGGAGGATTGAACAAGACCGATACTGGGAGCATTACAATTAGAAGAAGACAACTCCTCCTCTGAAGATGAAATTGCTGAAGAAAATGGATCAATACAAAGGACCTTTTGCTGAAGTGCTTAGGTCTGCATTTTTATCTCTTTCCCCCCCCCCCCCCCCCCCCCCCCAAACATAAGGACCTTGAGTCTCTGTTACTTTTAGCAGCCTGATGGTTTTCTCCATCCATAACAGGACGCTGGATACTTGTCATCTAGTTGCATGAATTCTTGGGGGGAAGAAATGGGGTTCTGCTTGCTCTATGCATCCAGTTTGCAAGTAGGGTATGTGGGCTGCCTCCAATCTTGCTCTGTAGCCATCAAGCTGCAAACGGACATAACCTGAAGGCCGATCGATGTCGTACATATGGGATTCTGGATGTAGTGCAGTATATGATTGATTCATGCCCATCAAGCCGAGGCTGATATAACAATCCTTCGTCTGTGCTGCCTAGAATGTTGTATTATATGAATTTTTGGGCGTATTGTAGTGTAGTGTAGTCGATTAACGTTTAGATTTATGACTTCAAGTTTGGCATACAAAGGTTGTTATTTACATACAGTGGCGGACCCAGGATTGTTGAATAGGGGTGTCGCCTAATGAACGAGTATCGATTATAATTATTAAAGTGGTGTCGGAAATCTCGTATTAAAATTTTTTGTACCAAAAAAATATAGATTCTTCACAAAATTTTCGGGCAAAGGGGTGTCGGACGACACCCCTACGCAACACCTAGGTCCGCCCCTGTTTACATATCCTTAGTTCTCCTTGCACAGTTTATTTGTTGTAATGTAATTTGATACCCATTTCCAGCATCATCAAATGTTAGAATGTAGTAGTTTTCTGCAACTCAATTTTAGAAGAAGAGTAGAGTCATGAATGAGTGGACATCCTTCCATAAGTAGACAGCAAAATAGGATCAACAAATGGCAAAGTTTGCTTCCTTTTTCATCACTTTTCTTATGTAGATACGGTACAATTAGCAAACTAATGGTAAAGACAGCAAAAACATGTAGGTGTGATCAATTGAGTAAGATGATGAGATAACGAAAATCTCCTCAGTTCACCTAAAGTAGGACAGCTGACCTGACGTGACAATGAATATAGGACTGGTTTGTTCAAAGAAACAAGTTTTGGGGACTGGACTGTACGGACAACATTACACTGTACTCTTGGACTGGCCCAATGTCTCAAGGATGGCCTGGCTCAATGGCGGCCCTGATCTGGAGGAGAATCTTGAATAGGCGAAGGAAAAACTTGAATAGGCGAAGGCAAAACTTCGCTACGGCCCAGACGAAGAGAACAAATAACTGTGGGTCTTCGTTAGTGTATATCTTGCTGAAGCCGCGGGTGATGATTCCCCAGCCCAACCCGCCTGGGTGCGGATCCACCAACTGCCGAAGGTAGACAGCTTTGACCGGTGTTCGCCTTCCAACAACACCTTCGACGATGCCCTTCCAGAACATCGCCGCGTTGTGGCCATTTGCCTCGGGATGGCTACTGTCGCCGGAGCTTGGCCAACCGGTTTCTGCGACGGAGACCGGAAGAGTGTGATAACCTGACTTGTTCAAGACCTCGACGACGCCGCTGAGTTATAGCGCTTGGCTAGCGGATCCGAAGCGGAGAAGGTGTGATTGCCTTGCGATTGGGAAAGGGCGAAAGGCAGTGGATAGGCGTAGGTTTTGTAGTACTCGTACACATCCAGCTTGACGAGGAGAGGAGAGCCGCTGTGGTTGAGGAACCGAAGCAAAGGTCCAAGGAACGGCGGCGGATCGATCACGTCTCCAAAGCTCACCGTGACGGAAATTGCCGATTCAACTTTGAGCAGCCTCGTCGCTTCCTGTACCTTCTTCACCGCCTCCATCAACACCTGAGATTCAGCAGCTTTTGGTTCTTCTCCCACGGAGATGGTGGATACGGCAGCTGAGGACAAGATCGGTCCAAGAATCTCCACCACCGCTGCAGAAGAATTGCCGGCTAGCTTAGCCAGCAATTCATTCGGCAAGCTTACCAGTACTGAGATTCCACTCTTCTCAAACTCTTGAAGGAGGTCCGGTGTGGCGTCGTGGAGACGTAGCCTTGCTGCGCCGAAGTTGAGGTTTCGGACCAATCACCGGCGCGCTCGGACGAATCGGAGGGGACCAATCACCGGCGCGCTCGGACGAATAGGAGGCGGAAGCGGCGACGGAAAGAAGCCGTTGGAGTTGGAGTCGAAGGTGACTCCCAGCGAAGCCTGCGCCTCCTGGAACCTCCATTGGTCGTAGCGAGTGATGATTGTAGACACACGGTAGGCCAGAGCGAGAACTGCAATGGAGAGCAAGAAGTACTTCATAGCTTTGTGGTGGTGAGGGGGGAAGAGGCAAGGAGGAGGGAAAGATTTCTAAGAAGAGAGAATTCTTGAATTGAGCATTCGTTTGGTGTGGGGGGTGGGGAATGTTCGTTACTGGTAAGAGGCCTTTTATAGCCACCGGCGGCAAGCCCCTGACAGCTGGAGAGGAAAGTTTCGTTGCCTTGAGGAATGTAGCTAGGATTTGCCAAGGCAGCATTTACGGGAAATCGTCTCTGAGTTCCTTCTCACAAGCATCATAAGTGCAACGCTTCAATGCTAGTTTCCTTCTTCTCGGCAGGCAGATACATGCTCACATACTCATCACAGGGCCTAAAACTAAACCAGGTTTGCAATTGCCTGTGATTGAATAATGCACTGCTCACTTTATATTCAAAATGTGCTAAGCTTGATGATGTCCTCCGACTCATGGAATGCGATGTTGTCAAGCTACGTCAATAGTGGACGCATGAATGAAGCTAGTGGACTCTTGAATGAAGCTAAGGAAATCTTCCAGGAGATGCCAGAAAAGAACCTTCTGACATGGGCTGTGATGATAGCATAACAGCAGGGTTAGCACAGAATGGACTTGGTGAAGAGAGTTTGAAGCTATTCAACCAGATGAAACTACAGGGTTTTCAACCATGTGATTATGCATTTGCTGGAGCTATTACCTCATGTGCTGCACTTGAATCATTGAAGTCTGGACTGGACGCCAGCTCCATTCTCAACTCATCCTGTTCGTTTTTTTAGTGTAGCCTTTCTGCGGGAAATGCACTGATTACCATGTGTGGAAGATGTGGCGTTGTAGGGGATGCGCGGGATCTATTCTCACCATGCCGTTTGTAGATTCAGCATGGAATGCGATGATTGCTTACCTGATCGCATCACCTTCCTGACAGTTCTCTCTGCTTGCAGCCACGCGGGTTAGTCGGGGAAGGGCATCGATACTCTTACGCAATGCACCATCTTTTATGGCATTACCCCAGGCGAGGATCATTATGGCCGCATGGTTGATTTGCTCTGCCGAGATGGAAAGTTCTCAGAAGCAAACGATATGATAGAAAAAATGCCCTTTCAGCCCGGCCCACAGATATGGAAAGCTTTCCGTGCAGGTTGTCGGAATCATGGGAACATGGAATTGGGAATCCAAGCTGCTGAACGGCTCTTTTAGATGATCCCTCAAAACAACGCAACCTATATCCTTCTGTATAATATGTATTCTGCAAAGGGGCTTTGGGATAATGTGCCAAAGAGTTAGGAAGCTGATGAGAGACCAAGGGGTGGAAAAGGAGCCTGCATGTAGCTTGGTTGAAGCTGAAAACAAGTTCCATGTATTCTTGGTCGATGACACTGCACATCCTGAAGTTAATGCTGTCTACAGTTATCTCAAGCAGCTTGGCTTTGAAATGAGGATATCAGGGTACGTGCCGGACACAAGAATTATCATTTCACATGGACCAGTAAGTAGATTATGTTTATAAGTTGTTGGCTGATTTAGTTATCAGTATTGATGTTGTTCTTTTTACTAATATTATTTGCACATCATGGCTGTTTAGATCAAGCATCTTTAGGAATCAGCAAAATAATGGACATACAGTAGAGTAATTTCCTTGTCATGGAAGAGGTGAACCAGATTTCCTTCTTTTAATTTAGTTTGTAGTGGTTAGTGAGTTTATAGAGTTTATTTTATGTCGATGTTTCATAGGTTGGTTATTGTTCTTTTACGTCTTCGAATGTTGTTTTCGAATTCAAGTGTTGGTTCCGTCTCTTTCATTATTTTCCTTCTAGTTTCCCAGCTTCGATTAAGTAGAGGTTAGGTGATTTTAATTGTATTCCGGTATCAGCAAGACAAGAGAAAAGAGGGAGGAAAAGGTCTCAAACGGAACGGTCCAGGTTCTAAAAATTCACCTAGCTTTGTTGAATCATGCAGTGGGAAAACAATGGAGCAGTTGATGTTCATGACTTTGATAGTTCAACCAGCAGGGATCCATTTTCATGAAAGTGCTAAGTTGAGTGAGTAGCCTTCTGCAGGTCTGGAACCAGTGTCAGTCGAGCCATTGGAGAAACATGCCCAATCTGCAGCATGAAGTTGATCAGAACCCTCTTTCACTTGCAATTCAGTGACAAGGTTAGCTCCTTAATGCATCCTCTTTGTTTGCAATGTTCAGGCCCATGGAATTGTTTCGCTTTCGGTTGCCACTTGTCACATTGTTTTTATACATGCTTATGTATTGTAGTTCACTCCTTGTGTCGCCTTCTCCTTCAGCTTCCTATATACTCACCATGTTCGTTGTTAGAACCTGTTTCTTGCTTCAGTCTACACATTGGCGTTCCTCTTCTTTCTGATTGCATACTTGATTTTGCGACTTCCTGAGGTTCACTTCATGTCGTCTTTGTTTGCTGGGTGCGCTCATTCCTTTCTCTGCGTAGCTCTAGCAACTGCAGTTCTAGGAACATGGACTCCAGGACTGGAGGGTGACTTCACTAGAGTTGGATAGTTTTATGTTTTTCTCCTTTAGAACTCACCAAAGCAGCACTGGAACTGCATCTGCTTACCGATGAGGGTACTGTTACCGATGAGGTTTGGATTGGATGGTTGGGCCTGGAATGAGAACGGGTCCAGCCCAGACGAAATGATCCGTCTGGATTCTTGCTGCTGGGCTGGGCTGGGCTGGGCCCGGCCTGCGAGGGATTTTTGAGAGACCGACAAGGAAAAGAGCAAGTCTCTTCCTGAAAGGACTTGGACAGTTGGAGTACCGTCCATAAATAAAACCTCTTGGTCTTGCGATTTATTTAGGACAGAAATCGAAGGAAAAAATCCAAAAGTACCACTGTTTAAAAAAAAAATTCCAAAAATACCACTCAATCCCAAAAAATTCCAAAAATACCACCTTTTTTCAAAAACCGCCACTCCACCCAGCGGTTTGGTCGAAAACCGCTTGTCGGGGGCGCGGTTTTGGACCAAACCGCGGGCCTAGGGGGCGGTTATAAAAAAAAAAAAATTTTGGACCAAAACCGCTGGGTGGGGTGGCGGTTTGGCCCAAAACCGCCACCCCAACCAGCGGTTTGGTCCAAAAATTCGGTCGAAACTTCAAACGAACGTAACTTTGCACTCGGGTATCCGATCGTAGCGATTCTTTTTTTCATTTCGCATAACTTTTCAAGATCTACAACTTTTACTAGGATGAAATTTTCAAAACAGGAACTATTTGTGGATATACGGGACCTTGAGAATAACTTTACCTTTACTTTTCAGAAATCCATGTGCATTTTGAAATTATGATTATATTAAAAGTTGTAGATCTTGAAAATTTATGCGGAATAAAAAAAAATTCATGACATTCGGATTTTGGAGCACAAAGTTGTGGCCGCCCAAAGTTTGACGAAATAAAAAAAATGCCGTTCGGGGTGGCAAATGACGTTTTTTCGAGACGAAGACGGAACCCGACTGTTTGAGACTTGCAAGATCTCAAAAAGTGATTCGGATTCAAAAAATGGAGGCCGCAAACTTTTTGAGATCTTGCAAGCCGCAAACCGCCGGGTCTCGCCTTTCGTCAAACTTTGGGCGGCCATAACTTTGTGCTCCAAACTCCGAATGTTATGAACTTTTTTTTGATTCCGCATAACTTTTCAAGATCTACAACTTTTAATATAATCATAATTTCAAAATGTACATGGATTTCTGAAAAGTAAAGGTAAAGTTATTCTCAAGGTCCCGTATATCCACAAATAGTTCCTGTTTTGAAAATTTCATCCTAGTAAAAGTTGTAGATCTTGAAAAGTTATGCGAAATGAAAAAAAAAATCGCTACGATCGGATACCCGAGTGCAAAGTTACGTTCGTTTGAAGTTTCGACCGAACTTTTGGACCAAACCGCTGGTTGGGGTGGCGGTTTTGGGCCAATTTTTTTTTTTTTTATAACCGCCCCCTAGGCCCGCGGTTTGGTCCAAAACCGCGCCCCGACAAGCGGTTTTCGACCAAACCGCTGGGTGGGGTGGCGGTTTTTGAAAAAGGTGGTATTTTTGGAATTTTTTGGGGTTGGGTGGTATTTTTGGAAATTTTTTTCTAAACAGTGGTACTTTTGGATTTTTTCCGAAATCGAACCGCTAACACACAGCAAGCAAGCAATCTTTCTTTCCTTGTCGCCATGGACGCTCTCAAGTCTCGTCTCGGTTTAATTGTATGCGTGTTATGTTTGGCGTCGTGGATGATCTTTGTCCACTGGATCATGCCAACTTTCTACCCTCGCGGCGCCGACGGGGTCCTGATCTTGCTCCGGCTGTTAGAGGATTACGATTACCCTATAACCAGATTCGTCGATGCAATCGGCGTGGCGGGCGACGCATTGCTTGCGATATGGGCTTGGCGGAAACTGGATCGTCACCTCCGCAACAAGTACGGGCTGGGCTTGGTTGATCTGGTGATGAATTCTTTTGACGGAGCTGAAAGGAGCTTGATTCGGCTGTTGCAGGATTACCCTATCATACTTCCCGCGCTACTTGCGATATGGGCTTGGCGGGCGCTGGGTGTGGACTCTTTCTTCTCTATGCTTGAGTTTTTCTTCCTTTTACGTTGTTGAATCCATTATTTATTGTATTTACCGGATTTGGATCGTCCTTTTTTTATTTTATTTCCTTCCAACTTAAGGGACAAGGTATATTGTGTAGTTGTTGGAGATTGAATGTTATAATATTATATTTAATTTATTGCAGCCGTTTCCTTCTTTTGTTAGTGGTTGGTGTGCTATACATGTTAACATATCCAATTCCATAGGAAGAGCTTCTTAGATGGGGCCGCACAACGAAAGTTCATATGCTTCTTGATTAAAAACTTGTATCGTCTCTCGGCGGTTGAACCACAAAATATCATTCTTGGAGTCAAATTCGAAATGGTACAAGCATCCGTGGTAAAATGTCTTCGTCTACCCTCTCAGCTTCATTATACTACAATCTTATCAGTCGGTTTTAGAGGTTGGGCCAATGAACCAGGACACTCCTGTCGATTTTAAGTGGCAATATTGAATTAGTGGGGGAGCCAACTCCTATTAAGCTCTGTCACATGACACACCTAAAATCTGTGGAAAATTTATGAACCCCACATAAGTGTATATGTAGGATTCAAATACAAGAGGTTTTATCTACAATAAAAGATATTTGATTGAATAGCACTTCTATTATTATTTAAAGTATTGGTGCTTTAAAGTACAATTTGAAGTTGTACCATAACGTTAAAAGTACAAATTTAACTTGTATCATAACTCCATAAGGGAGTTTGACATTTATGTTTGTGGTACAACTTCAAGTTGTATCATAACATAAAGGTGCAACTTTAGTTTGTACCATAAAGAGATTTTACAAAAGAGTATATGTACAACCTAAAGTTGTACCATAACGTAAAGGTATAACTTCAAGTTATTATATCATAAAGGGGGGAAAAACCTAAAGCACCAATCCTTTAAAGAATTGTAAAATTCCTCTTTATTGAATACATTACTTAAGAATAATACATTACAGTTGGGTCTCTACACAGTTTATATTAGTTCTTTGGAGCTGGAGGTGAAAGTGTGCTTGGTTGCGACCAGATTTGTGCTTATATAAACAGATTCGTTGGTAATTGTTGAATGTGTTAAATATGTCAGGCCTTGAAACTCCACATTTGAATCAAAATACACTATTATGTAATATGTTGATTAGTTTTTCCTCATTTCAAATCCACTTTCTTATTATGTCTGTTTTTATTCTGCCATGAATCAAAGTTAGACAAACTTTGAAATTTCAAAAATGGTTAGGTATCATATCGTAACCAATAGAGTTAATTGCATGATTGGTCACTAAAATTACAAAAAGCGTTCATGTTTGGTCACTATAAATATTTAAATCCACTTTTGGTCACTAACTTTACAAAAATCGTTCATTTATGGTCACTCTCCGTTAGCTGCCGTCCAACGCCGTTAACGGCGTCCGTTAAGTGATGACGTGGCTGACGGATTTGCCTAATCAGCACTTTTTAACCCCAAAATTGACTGACCCGACCTGCCACGTCATTTAAACCCGCCATGTCAGCTAAACCTAACCAAACCTCTACCCAAACCCGACCAGACCCGCTAACTAAAACCAAACCAGACCAGACCCCCAAAATTGTTTGACTAAAGGCCTAATCAAAGACTGCCTCCATCCAGCGCAGCCTTCCTCCCTTCCGGTTGCATCCCCATCTCTGATGTGTCAGAGAAAGGTCTGCAATTTGATCTGAAAATCAAAGTGGCTAGGTTTTTTAGGCAATACTCATCAATCTTCGAGGAATAAGTTGGCCCCCATCATAATTTACCTTGGTTTAGGTTGACCCATAAAGCAGCAGAGATTGATAGAGAAGAAATGAGTGTTCTCGAGGATCATAAGGGGGATCTGAGGGAGAGACTGAAGAAGTTCATTTGGATGAGTAAAGAAAAGGCAGTACCTTTGAAGATCATCCAAGGGATGGCATGGTATTTGGGTTTGCCTGATGATTATCTGCAGAGATTCGATGATGGGACTTTCGAGATCTACGCTATTTATTCATCAAGCGCGATACTCGGGTCGGCGGTGGAGATCTTCTCAAATCAATCAATAAAATGGCGGAGGACAAGTACAATCTGAAGAACCCCGCCGTGAAGCGGATCCTGCAAGAGGTGAAGGAGATGCAATCGAATCCCTCTGAAGATTTCATGAGCCTTCCTCTCGAGGTTCTTCTTCGCTCAATTTCTCTTCCCCTCGATTCCCTGATTCTTCTGCGTAATTTCGATCTAATTCCATTTGGGTTTCTAGCTTTGGATTTCGGGTGGTTTTCGAATTCGATATGAAATGGCTCTAGTGCGGGTTTGATGGATTTGTGAAGTTCGCAATTCTCTAATGCAGAACGAAAACCATCAACAATAAATGTCGAATCGCAGAATCAGATTCCTCCGGTAGGTAAGAGAAGAGAAAACTCAGTTCCCGGCGGAGGGATCTCAGTAAGACTGTTGGGAGAGGGAGTGGGAGACCCAGGGTGCTGACGGTCTGAAAGAAGACGAACGGCGGTGGAGGAAGAAAGGAGGAATTGTGGATGCGATCTCTGTGTTCGCGATCGGAAAATCTCCAGGAAGAAAAACGGAAGGGAGGAAGGCTACGCGGGATGGAGGCAGTCTTTGATTAGGGTTTTAGTCAAACAATTTTGAGGGTCTGGTCTGGTTTGATTTTAGTTAGCGGGTCTGGTCGGGTTTGGGTAGAGGTTTGGTTAGGTTTAGCTGACATGGCGGGTTTAAATGACGTGTCGGGTCGGGTCAGTCAATTTTGGGGTTAAAAAGTGCTGATTAGGCAAATCCGTCAGCCACGTCATCACTTAACGGACGCCGTTAACGGCGTTGGACGGCAGCTAACGGAGAGTGAGCATAAATGAACGGTTTTTGTAAAGTTAGTGACCAAAAGTGGATTTAAATATTTATAGTGACCAAACATGAACGTTTTTTGTAATTTCAGTGACCAAC